CGGTTCCGGGGAGCCCGCCGTCACGGCGCTGCTGCTGGTGGACTCGGAGCCGCCCGGGGCCGCCGCGCTTGCGGGCTTCGAGAGCGCGCTGTTCGTCCAAGCGCTGGACCGGCCGCAGAGCGATCTGCTGAGCCGCTTGGACGACTGCGCGGCTTTTCTCAGCCAAGCCCGGGAGTGCGGCGGGAGCGCCCTGGTGCGCTGGTGAGCCCGGCCGGAGGAGGCAGCGCGGGAGGCGGGTGGCTGCGGCCGGGGGCTGACCGGCAGGAGCCCAGCCGTGTTCCTGCTCTACTACGGCCTTACGCAACGTTTCGGGGTAGAAACCCGCAGAGACATCCGTGATTGTAGTGCAGTTACTCAGAACCAGCCTGGCCCTCTTGAAGGCGTAGAAGGAGATTTCTGCTCTAATTAGGGTGCAATGTATGAACGGGGCTTAAGGTTTTACGTTCTTCAGTATTTCGTGGGTTCAAATACTGTATCCCCCCGTGGATTGTTCATAGCCGCTATTTGCTGTAGACCCAGCCCGCGCCTCCTTTCTCGCGCGCGGCACCTTCGGCGTAAAACCTTCCTGGCTGCCTTTGTGACGTCATAATTAAAGCCCAGCCCACTCTAACTCAGCTTTCGAGCGTTTTTGCTCAGAATGGTTGCCATCTTTGTATCCCTTTTACCCTAAGGCACGACAATATCTGAGTTAAAGAGTTTTGAGATATCCGCAAGCCTAAAACTTCCCTTACAGGGTTGCATGGGGGCGGGGAGGGTTTAAAAATGCTGCAGTGCACTTGCAGGGAATTGTTGCTGAGCGTGCAAACGCCCCCAAGGTGTAAACCAGGCTTTAAAATTCACAGTAATTGGCATATCTCATTCTAAGCCAGAAACAGACGAATCACATGATGGCCTGTTGTGATTTGTGAACCCAGACAATAGGATGGTTTTTAAAGTGCTGTCATTCTTTTGCTGAGTTTTCATTATTGTCTTCTCTCCTGTCAAATCTCAGAGGAACAGTACATTACATTAAGCTATGATATAAATGTGTTGGTTTTTATATGATGTATAAATTCAGCACGTAGTTTGTAAACTTTAATACATTAACCTAGTCTTTCTGTCCGTCACAGTTCTGAAAAAAAGCTTTAAAATTTTTTGCCCAAAATTAATTGATTAATATAATTGATGACCAACAAAATGGAGGTGATTGTAGGATGTAGAATATAGTTTCCTCTTCCTCAGTTAGTTCCTTTCTATTATGATCAGTGATAGGTTGATGATAACTGCTAAGTTATTGCCCCAATTTTCATAAGATTAAATGGTAGACTGTGGTTTCAGTCCCACTCTAAAGGTTTTATTTTTGGTTCAGAATGTGTGAATAAACTATTGTTAGTGTAGAATCACCATCATCCAATCATTACAGTTAAGACCAACCTGAAACTTCCTGGCAGTTAATGTCAAAAATGTGCTAGGGTTGAAAAGTGGGGGATTTCAGGATAATCAGGATAATCAGGATCTTTTGCATTGAAGTAGTCTAGCAGGGAAAGCTCAGTTTCCCTGATTCTGAAGCATGATATTAATGCAGCTTCAAAAATGAGATGAGGTATGTGTGCTCAGCCTCCTGATCCGGAGTTGAAATGCATTATAAAAAGCAGCTCTCCAGGTGAAAATATTGTTTAAAAGGAATTATATATTTTGGGGTATATGTGAGGGAAACCATGTTTCACTGCGTCTTCCCTTTCTTTTTTCCAGTCATGCTGGAGTGAGCCGAAGCGTTGCTATCGTGACTGCCTATTTAATGAAAACTAATAACCTTTCTTTTCAAGAGGCCTATGCCTTTGTCCAGGCCATCAAACCTGATGCTAAGTATGTTTTATTTTTTCTTTGGCAAAAGTGTTTTCTCATGAAGGTTAGAATACACATTCTTTGCGATATCAGTTGTTTTTTTTTAAATTTGTTCTAGGATGAATGAAGGCTTTGAGTGGCAACTGAAACTCTATGAAAAAATGGGCTGTAAGGTTGATGTAAACAGTACTATTTATAAGCAGTATCGTTTGAAAAATATTACAGAGAACTGTCCAGGTAAGGCAAATAGAAATTACGATATATACATTCCATTATTAAGATGTTGTGCAATCTACCTTCATCTGTATTTTTAGTGCTATATTTTGCTAGCTGCGATCCTTTTAATATTGGCAGTAAGCAGAATTGTAATAGCCTTTTTCTTCAGTGTGTTAATTATATTATAGCTAGCTTATCTGATGAAACTTCAGTTCTGAAAGGAGGGATACATGGTGTTAACTGCTTCTCTGAATCACCCCAATACCTGTAAGAAACCTAACAATGTACAACATTAGCCAGGTTGTACCTCTCATTTTCCTTGCTCCTACCCATCCTAGCAAAAATTAGCCTCCGACAAGAACATTAAAAGGAGCTATGTAAAGATTACTAGTGGCTGCTATGTGATTTGTATATTTTTTTCCTCCTCCAGCTTTCTTGCTTTCTGATGGCAGAACCTGCTCAGTTCTCAACAGGCATTGTTTTTACCGATAAGCTAAATTTGTCACACGTGTTTAGGTACTCAAGGGTTTCAGAGGACAGTTGAAGACATCGGAAGATGCAAGAGTTGACCAGCTTAGTAGAAATGAAAAGTAATACATGGTTGCAAAAATGTATTTGCCTTTGCTCAGCTATAAATCAATAGCCATTTTTAAGCCCATTTATAGCAGTTTTGCCACAGCACTCTAGTAGTCTGTTTTCAGCTGTCTTCTCCAGAAGAAATTCCCTCTAGATTTTTCTACCATCAGGTTTTTCAACTAATGCTTTCCACATTGAGCTTAAATAGTGTGGGATCCAGGAATAAGCCTCACAGAAGGCAGGCCTCTCGCTCTCGGGCATTCTTACCTGCTAGGGTAACAGTTAGGGTTTTTTTTTTCTTGCCCTGGAGTATAGGCAGAATGTTTTGGCTTGCCATGTTTAATTTCTGCCATTTAGATACAAAATAAAAATGAAGTAATTTTGATATATAATATCTTGGTTTTAGACATTAATCTGTATCTCTTTGGTACATATGCACACGTGTGTACTCACACACACACATCAGATTGGGAATGAATTAAGTAAAATTATGGTTGCCTTCTCCTTTTTTGTCAGGGGAGATGTACACATGGACTCACTTTAGCTTTTTGTAGTAATATGTATGCATATATCCCAGTTACCATATTCTAAATCATGTACCTATAAGTCATTCATAACTTTGATACCAGTACAAGTTAGTCAAATACATGTAATGTCCTTTACTATTAGGCTGCGTAAAAACTAATGAGAGATAGATAATCTTCTGAAGAAGCAGTTGAATAAAAGGAAAAATAAAAATACAGACTAGGCTGTGCTGATATTGAAAATAATAAAATAACTTCTTTTTCTATCATTTTATATCCCTTTCCAAATTGTTATTGTTGGAACCTGTGGATCTATATTACACAGATGTTGCAAAAGAACCAAACTAATCATATTCACTGAATTTTTATCACATTTTTTTCCACAAGAAAAGAACAAACAATTAAGCATTATAATTTTGAGGATTCTAAAGCTGGTTGGTGTTGAAGCAAAATGTAATCCGGAAAGACAGATTCTTAAATTGCCAGGAATTGGTGTTCTTGTCAACGGAACAGTCATCATTAGCTCTGGAATAACCTAAAGCTTCTTGCACTGTGGCAAGCTATCTACTGTTTAATTCATCTGCAAAATTTCTGTAAAAATGCAAAATGTGGTTTTGCCACTCTTACTTGAACCTAATATAAGTATTACAGTATTGCTGCTGTTCGGAATTTTTTTACATGGGCCAACATGGCTAATTACATTTTTATGTGAATTTTTTCTCCCAATGTTCTCATAAAATTGGTATCTGAATATTGAATTGAAAATGTTATAGTTACCCTAGTGGGCTTATTTTAATAAAGGCTGAAATCTTACTTGGGAGAATTTAGCTATATCAGTTCTTTTATGGCACTCCTGGGATAAATGGTTGCAGCTTTAAACCATCCTTTTAAGCTGTGTTTTATTGTACACTTCTGGGGGAATATTGGTTTAGGACTGTATGTAAATACCCGCAATAAAGAAATGCTCTTAACTTTCTGAGATGCTTCTTTATAAGTCTATAAACTCCTTATTGTTTCTGGTTTTCAGAGATGGAAGACCTGCCTGGTAATGTCTTCGCAGTTGATCCAAACACAGCACATCAAATTCCAAATCACGACATTCTTTACAGGTGTAGGAAATGCAGGTATGTGACTGCACAGGAGTGTTTATTAAACTGTATCCTATGAGATCAGTTTATAGCAATTTTCCAAGTGCTAGCACTTTTGCGACCAAGGGGCTAACATAAAAGCAATTAAATTGCTTGGGGATTTAAATAGACTAAATGTTGAATTAATGACTATATAGACAAAAGGACTTTCTAAAAAAGCTTTACAGCCAGTGCAGTTGCATGCAAACATTTGGGTCAGATTGTACATTTTGGTGAATCCCTAAGTGAACAGCAGCTGACACAACCCTTACGTGATACAAAAGTAAAGATACTTCTGCAAATAGATTTCCCCACAGATATACAAATCTGGGGACTGTGAAGGCCATTCTTTATCTTCCCCCCCCCCCCCCCCCATCTTTTTTTTTTTTTTTTTTTTTTTTTTTTTTTTTTTTTTTTTT